CAACTTTAATTGCTCGTTTTATATATAAAGAACTTCTTTGACAAATATTCAGCTAAAACTCTATCCTAACAAAATTCGAGCTCGTCTATTGAATATGATTCTTGAGGTCGGTGTTGGAGAAAAGTTCAAGAAAATTTCCTGCACAACAGGGACAAAATCAGTAAACGCTAACGGCCGAACTTCAGCAGAGTTTGAATGATTCCACTTGTTCAATACTTATTTATTCTAGTGAGATGTCGAAAATGTTTCCATCGCCTGAACTTGAATGTAATGACTCAAGATTCTTTTTCATTGGTAAATTATTATAAAAAAACGAGATCTCTCGAATGTGAAACTAGCCAGCTCTATGTTATATTCGAAAAAGAAACTTGGACGATCTCGTCTGAATATGAAAGAGAAAAATTATCACTGATAAATGGGTTTCTATGGAACTGGTGATACAAACCTAGAAGATTTTCTAAAAAAAAAGAGATCCGTAAGAGACATAAAAAAAAATTTCTATTTCATTTCCTTCATCGTTATTATTTTCATCGCTGATTTCGACTTATAGGGAACAAAATTCATTACATTGAATTTCGATCAAATCAATAATCGACAAGTAGAATTGAAGTTATTGTTCAACGGGAAGATCATTCTGAATGAAAATTTCATAGATGAGAAACACGTCTCTATTCAATTGACTATTATGTCGATTTCTATTTGAAACAAGAATCAACATATTGAACAATTGTCTCGAGAATATAGATCAATGTCATTTTTATAATGCATATCATCAAAACGGCAATGTCAAATTAACGAAGCAATCATAGATGAGAGAATCGGTTCGATGATTCAGCAATATTCAAAAGAGTTTTTTTTGGTTATTTGCTAAACACGCAGACATAAATCTTTCATCAAATGGTCGAATAAATCCTTAGACGCATTGAATTCGTACTTGAGAGGCCTTGAATATTCAGATCAATGACATGTTGTTCAGTTTTCGTTTTCGCCGCGTGTTCAAACAGAATGTTCGATTCGAATAAAATATGCGTAAATATTATTCGAAAAATTTCTTCGTCATTCAATTGTCATCATCAACAACACAACGTCAGAATTTATCGTGACTTAGTTACTTGCTGGGGACACTTCTCTGCTTCACTTAACCAATGTATGTCGATTCTGCTACTCTCATCTTCTTGTCTGATAGTAAAGAAGATTATTTGAGAATTCGAACGAATCTCATGTTACTTAATACATGATAAACAAGGCTTTAAGCAACACCTATTGGACACAATTTTTTATTATCAGCTGAACTATCTTCGCTTATTAGGCATATCTTATCAGATGATATGGTTGTTTCACACATATAATGTCTCGATCATATATTTATTATTCACAATTGTCTTCTGAAATTCTTTTCTTTCACCTATGGTTCCGTTTCGCTATTCGATGCACATTCTAAATCATCAAATCATTTATTCTCTCTTCTCAGTCAACTCGCAAGTACTCATCATGTGATTAGCGTTGCTAATTGATCTATCAATGAACATTAGTCGATAATCTTTAGATCAAATCTATTTGTAGTTCTTTTACTTTCCTTAAATGATAAACCTTAGTTCAGATATTATTTAATTTAATTCTTGTAATCAGCAAGTTGCGTAATTTGCATTTTGCTTCGGAACCATGTTATATGGAAAAAAAATCTCATTATGTTTCATTGATGGCTCATATCGTCTTATTTGTGTTTGTTGTTAATCGATAAGGATTGTCCAAAAAAAAAAAACTTCTACTTTTGTTAGAAATGTTAACATGATTAGATCGAGAGAATGTTAATGAAAAAAGAAAATTCATCTATATGCAAATTTCTTTCTGTGTTGACTTTCTCACTGATTTACACAAGTGCAATTCTAACATTGGCTCTCGCTTTAAATGCATGGAACACTGGAGGGTTTTCATTAAAAAAAAAAATTTTTTCACATCCGTTAGTTGAGTTTTTTAACGCACTGATGACAATGAAAGAAAAAAAGAACTCATATAAAGAGAGAAAATCGTTCCTTTTTCTCTCTTCTACAAAAGCGACTCGTCGTTATGTTGGTCCTTGTAATTACGAGAAAGAAATAAAATACTGTTTATATAGTGTTGTTGTCAAAAGAAAAGTGAGACACTTCAAGTTTCTTTTTTCTTTCTTCTCCTTCTTGATTATGTATGCTGTGCCTGCTTACAAACTGAATACTCCACGAAAAGAGACTATCGACTCATTTCGACGTGATCTCGAGAGTATTCGACGAGATTTGAACGATTTACGTAAAAGTGAAAATTTGACATCATGTTTAATTTGTTCTCATCGAGCAATAACACCTCGAATCGAATCAACGTTTCGTCCTTACTATAGTTCGGCTTATAATAATTGTTTCGTCGAACTACCAAGTCGATCGGTTATCCACCATCAAATTGTTCAAACACAACCTGAGATAAGATCATCATATGATTCTTTCTGGACTAAAAATGAATACAATCATAACTACACCTATAGACCATGGACAACATCGAGATATGTACCTTAAAGATAAATATTTCTAACATGAACTTTGCTCAATAAGCTGCTTAGTATGCAATCTTGACT